CTTGTAAAGTGTATGATTTTTTCAAATTGTCAGCAATAGAATAAAATTTGTTTTAATTTCACAAAGTATCATCTATAGCATCATTATCATTAATTTAACATTCTAAAATATTTTTTTTAACTGCCCAAACTGTATCAGGCATTTTCTTAAGGCCTTGTTTCGAAATATAAATATATGTAAGATCTGGTCTATACTGATGTCGCAACCTGTTGTATTCTATTATAGCTAACTCATTTGCTTTTACAGACAAAGAATCATAATTTATAAGATGTAATCCACTTAACGCAGTCACTCGTGAAAAAGCAACACATATTTGTCCGCAACTAAATATGGAATTTCCAGGTTCAAGAACAGCATGATGTAAACTCAATCTTTGACTTTTATGAGTAGTTATGCCATAATTTAAATATATTTGAAATTGTTTTCTTACAACAAATGCTTTATCCATTACTTCAAATTTAACACTTAAACGTTCTATTGTTTATATATTATATGCTCAACTCCTCATAGCAGCAGCATTTTTAATTTTTCTACTTTATTTCTATTAGTGCCTCGTGTAATTGACGTAATTGTGCCAACTGTATCATTTACAAGACGTAAAGTGACATCGATATTTCTTCTAATCATTATGCGTGCTCCTACTTTCACAATTATGATCCTTGCTAATCCAGCTGTTGGAGAACTATCTTCATCATCCTTATTTAATATCTTTTTATTCAAATATGATACACAATCTATCATGTCTTGAGCTACGAGTTCTATTTCATTTGGAGAGGTACGTTTTAACATTGCATTATTTAGAATATCATATAGTGCACAAGTTGAAAGTAAACAAATTGCATCCACCAGCAATTCCTGCAAACAATCATCTAATTGTTGTAATCGGTCATCACAAGTAGTTTCTGTAAATTTTATTTTTCTCGTTTCTAAGGCAACAGTATCCGAATCTGTTATTGCTCCTATTCAAATTTTGTATAATATATTTCTATAAAAGTCATCATTTTTTGTCGCATGTTAATCCGGGATCTAGATCGAATACTCTTCCAAAACCTCAATATCGGTATGTGTCAATTTTTATTTAACATTTCTTTATTAATCACAGGGCACATATAAAATAATAACTTATACAATAAATACCTGTAATAAAGATCGACTGGTTCGCATAGAACGTTTGTATCTGTGTTCCTTGATTTTTGGTATTGTTTCCGCAATATACAATTTTGTGTTGATTGAAATCGTTATATAACAAATGGTCGCTCATCCTGTCAGTTTCTGTGTTCAATACCTGCATGAAGTAATACTGATACCGTATGTATTGTCAGCGCAACCATGTAGTTTGTTATGTAATTTTTACTTTTAATCGGTATCAGATGTAATCTTTACTTTTAATTTCAGCTACTATCTGCGAGTGGATGTATGTAACAAGACACTAATTTCACTAAAACAGCACGACTCTTATATACTATCAAGCGGTCGCGGTCGCGGCGCGACGCTGAGTACGTATCGAACAAAACAAGACGACCGTGTAAGCTTATCTGGAATTTCTGGGTCGATTGATCTTCCGAGTCAAATATCTCAAGCACGAAAACTATAATCAAAAATCTAATGAATGTTTCCTCATATAATGTTTAACGCGCGCGTAATTTACACCAAGCTTGATAAAAATTGATGCAGGCAATACGGAGATCTCGAAATCTCGCCCGCTAAAAACCCTTTTTATTTTCGCGCAGATTTTCTTTTTTTCAGACATACGTACGCACGCACACAAGCGACGCGCGTTTGTCCGTCAGATTGCGTTTGTAATGTATATAGGCTGCAATAAGCAACTAATTTACGTTAGACTAAAGGAAAAGATTTATGATCGACTATTAGATGTACATATCAAGCTGTAATTACAATTTCAAGTATTTATATATTTTCTTATAGTTGTATATTAATTTGCGCTTGTGAAGTTCGCGATCCGCATTGCAAACATGTAATCTGAATTTAAAATTAATTGGCGAGAAAGAAAAGATTTCATAGGTGAAATTTTATAAAGATTTCCGTATAGACTGCACTAATCAGAATGGACGCATATTATGTGTGCAATAAATACTAAATCGATCATGTATCTTTTCGTTTAGCGTAAACTCGTAAATAAAATAAAATAATCACTTGAGACCCACATATTTGCAATTACAATTACGAGGTCACCTTATAAGACAGCAAAAATAGCTAAAATTCAATCTGTAATAAATTTCTATGATAATAATAAACGAAAAAGAGAAAGCGATTGAAACTGATAGAATTTACAGAGAATTTAATTGTTTTCTACCGTAATGTATCATTTCACTATATCGAATCCCCGATGTTAAGTTTTTCTCTCTCAATTTCATACTTCGATATTTTAACATTCAATTATTCATATTAATAAAATATGATAAATTACAATATACATTCAATTATTCATATTAATAAAATATGATGAATTACAATATACTATATGAAAATGTATCAGTTAACAAATACAATTTAGAAACGTGTGGGAAACATTTTACAAACAGTTATGAAATGGTATATACGTTTAGAAAACATATGTGAATCCTATATGTACTACTAGGAATATAGTGTATCCTAACTATAGATATAAAAACAACAAATTGACATAAAACACTGAAACATAATTGATTAAAAAAAATGTTTCTTATTCAAAATATCTGAACATTACAATATTGATATTTATCACAGAATTACCTGTGTAATAAATACTTACATATACGTACTTGGTTAATTATATTGATTTCACTTCTTTTTTGAATATTTAAAACATCTGCACTTTGTTTAAGTTAACATGTACTTTTCGTTTAGGCTTTTTTTTATTTTTTGTTTTGGTATTTTTTGTATAATTGATATTTATCACACAATTACTTGTGTAATAAATATATACATATATAGAAATAAAATGCGAAGTATAAGATAATTTGAGAATCCAGTAAATACCAAGTAACGATTATATAACATAAGGTATAGAAGTTATTATTAATCTCCCATTCTCCTCGTACTAAAATGTAAACTAACACGAAATATATCTCCAGTCATGTTTCATTTCAAACATTTATGATAGTGTGAAATCTAACTCCATAGCGCCAATAGCATTGAAAGAGGATGACTCCCATAAACGTGCCCGTGTACGCCCAGAATTTCGGGCGACTCAGTTGAAAATGACAAACATATGATACGACTTTCAGTCTCCTTCCCTCACTTGAGCTGTCTCGAGTGCTATTCAACTGTGATCAAAGATGTTTTCCTCATATTATATTATACATATTGTGTATATTATATTATATTATATTATATTAATATATTATATTATATTGTAGAATTTAATTTAATTCCAATTGTAGTATTAATAAAATTCACTCTTGGCCAACGGGTATATTTCAACTTAATAAATTTGTTTTACCAAAATATATTTAAAAATGTCTTAGAGCAATGAAATGAAAGCAATAAGTGATTTGATTAGTATCACTGGCGTGTGTAAACACTTCATAAGTGTTACGGAATTAACTCCTGTGTGATTGACTATATGTGGAGGGTTTCTTGCGTTAATAATTGCAATCCTTAATTTTACACCGTTTATTTCTGCTTTTCTGCCGAGCTACAACCACTTACTACTACTATCGTTACGCATGCGCAACTCTCCTGCTTGGTAGCACCTCATCAACGCCGCCACCTCAGAGACACCGCATCAGCGACACTGCCTCAGCGCCACTGCATCTTTCCGTGCTACTACACCTCTAAGTGCCCTTATATTTAGGCGCCAATCTTAAACTAAACGATAAACTTAAAATACAAACACAAAGGGTTTCACTATCTTAACAATAAGCTTACTGGTTAACATCGCATGCTACTTATAATCCATAAGATATATGTGGCATACAGTGATGGAAACTTTGACTTTGACAGCACGTGAGCTTCACGAACACGGTCGAGTCAGTTTGTGCATATCTCCTTGCGTATTGATATGTACTTCTCGGGAGTAAAAGTTTCTATCACTGGTGCCATAATTCTTAATTCTTTTAATTTTATATTATTGTATAGTATCGCTGTGCGGCGAAAAATAAATAAATATCTCTTATTATAATTTATTCTTTTCTTTTAATCGATGAAACACATATTTATGTATAAAAAGTCAAAGTTTCCTGAGTTTTCTGTACTTCGATATATATAAAAAAAGAATAAGAAAAACATATATATGTACCAATACATAAAAGAGAAAGATGATAGACAAAATTTCGTATAAGATAGATACATTTTATTTGGCTAACTTAAATATTGGATTCTGCATTTTAAAAAGAAGCTTAAAATATACCATTATCCTCCTTGAAATGTCATGTGGTTATGATAAAATTTAATATTTTCATAAAATATTAAATTAAATTTAATATTTTTATAAAATATTAAATTTTACCATAACCACATGACATTTCAAAGAGGATAATGGTATATTTTAAGCTTTCTTTTTAAATGCAGAATCCAATATTTAAGTTAGCCAAATAAAATGTATCTATCTTATACGAAATTTTGTCTATCATCTTTCTCTTTTATGTATTGGTACATATATATGTTTTTCTTATTCTTTTTTTATATATATCGAAGTACAGAAAACTCAGGAAACTTTGACTTTTTATACATAAATATGTGTTTCATCGATTAAAAGAAAAGAATAAATTATAATAAGAGATATTTATTTATTCTTCGCCGCACAGCGATACTATATAATAATATAAAATTAAAAGAATTAAAAATTATGGCACCAGTGATAGAAACTTTGACTCCCGAGAAGTACACATCAATACGCAAGGAGATATGCACAAACTAACGCGACCGTGTTCGTGAAGCTCACATGCTGTCAAAGTCAAAGTTTCCATACAGGAAACTATTGCCCAGGTTCGGTTGAAACTAGAAATCTAGAATGAAGATATATAATTTAATTCGTCAAGTAGTTAATTAATCAGATTAAGATTTAATGTATAACATACGTACATATATATAAGATCGTTCTTTATCTGATTGTGTTTTCTACATAAATTATTATATATTTTTGATTTAAACACTATTTTTTTTACACTATCCTTCACCAAAATTATATAATGCGTGCTTATTGCGCCCATTTGATATTATAATTGCGCCTGGAATTAGTCATGATTACGAAAATATTTCTTAAAATAATTTCCAGACCAACATAAAGACGATGAATGTAAGCACGAACTTTGTCACTTGATGTATCCAGTACAATCTGAAATTTATAATATTATTTTAAGCTCAAACGTAAAAATATGTAAAAGCGCTTTGTACATCATATATTTGTATTTCATAATAACTGTCAATGATTCAACACATTTCAATTTTAGTTAACACTAAATCTCACTAACGAGGTCCATTAAACTCTAAAACCACATTTACGGTCCAGCTAATTTTCTTACGTTACTTTCTGGAAACTGTATATTTTCTGACTTCATTTAGTGAACTAAACAGCGCAAAAAATGTTTTCCTTGAGTTCTATGACGAAAACTGAAAGTGATGCACAAAGAATGTAACTCCTAGACCTCAAAGAGACAAAAACTTCTCTAAAATTATTTTTTCACATTAGAAAGTCAACTATTGCCTAGGTATTATTTTTGTTAACTTTTTAGCTGCGAATGGCATACATATACGTGCGTATATAATTATTAATATGCGGATATATTAATATAATAATTATAAATATAATAATATTATTATTTTTTAATATATAATAATATATATTTAAAGTAATTTTAATATATAATAATGTATAATAATATAATGTAATTATTTATAAATATAATAATTATTAATATACGTATATAATTTTTAATATACGAATGGCAAATATATAAAGTGTTTTGTGTAATGGTCAGTGAGATTTTTGAGGCGCTCTCGATTATTTGGGAAAAAGATTGTAAAGTGAACATTTATTTATATCATGTACACTTCCACATACAAATAAAATAATTAAAAATTTTAAAAAAGTCAATGACACCTTGAATTCTTCAAATATCAGTTTTTTTCCTTGATATTATAGATAATTTTAAGTTGAATTGAATACACTCTCACTTTTATCGATATTTAATGTTACATTATTTATTTATGTTATTATTAAATCGAAAATGTATTACCTCTTCAATTTGATACGACTGTCTTCCAAAGTACTTAAATCATCCTTAAGCAAGTAAAGCCGCACACCTTTGAAATGATCATCCAAATATTTCGACCAATCAAAACCTTTCATGTTAAAGTCGAATAAACACTGATCATTTTTGTCCATGCTTCGCCACATCGCCTGAATGTTATCATCGCTGTGTATCCAATTATGCAAAGTAAAGTAACTAACTGCATCCTGATACTTGTGAATCATATTGTACAATTTCCATATTCTGAAAGAGATGAAATAATGTCGACGAGAATGTTACTCCCATACATACGGTGTTATCTTCAAATACCTTTGCCGAGCACCTATGCATTGTTGAAAGATTTGTATGAATAAGGCGGGCAGCAGGTGGCCGAACCAAATACACATTCTGTATATAATCTTATTTTTTACCAATGTAATAGTTGGCATCCAATAGCAGTGCTTCGTCGGATATTTTCGAACGTTTAATCGTATGTGATTGGTATAATCACTCATAAACAAAGGCGCGTCGTTTGTCGATACGCTATTATAAATTAACATTTTGTTGCCTCTCCTGCAATTAGGAAATGGAAGAAATTTAATGTAAAACGTAAGAACCATTTACGTGCGCGTGCGCTGTGAGAGTGAAAATTCAGCCGATGGCTCGATGATTTTGGAGATGAAAAAAATTTTATCATGACACGGGAATTTCAAAAGATAAAGAAAATTTTATCTCTTAGTAGTTAAACAGAGGAACTATGCAAGCACATTTCTTTGAAGCCAGATTCTCATTAGTATGAACATTTACATTACATTTGACGTATCTGTAAAAATGACGTGCTTATCATGGTGGATCATACTTTTGCGGTTGATTGAAAACATCCCACGCGGCAACAATTAAAGCATTTATGGTGATGTCGGCAGGTACGAAATTTGTTAAACAATCAGAATCGGCCCTGAAAAACCTTGTTAGGCCTTTAGCGATAGACACCGTCACTCCTATTGGTCCATAATAATTATCTATCCATCCCACGAGCGGTTCTCGGGCAATATTCATCACTTAAGGAGAGAAAAATACAAACTTTTAATGTTGTACAAATTTTTAAATAGAATGAAAAAATAAAATATTTGTATAATACAAATTGTCAATGTCTTAATATTAACGTTGGAAAAATATAAATATACTTCATAACTTGATCGAAAGACGAATTAAGGCTATCTAATTTCTAACAATCTTTCTGAAATAATTGGTCACTCACCGATGGATGGCCGAAAAATTCCGATGGGCAAACTTTCGCTGCTGTCTCTAATAACTACTTCAGCGATTGCTTTTGTGAATGTATAAGTGTTGGGCCACTGTGCGGCAGCTCTGTCAAAAATCATTAGTTGTACTTTCATTTTCTACATAAGTTATACATATTTGTCCAATTTATTTATTGCATTATAAAATGATAAGAATATACACCTTAATATCTTCTCGTCGATCGTGTTTTCAGACGATGTTCGCATTAGAGTAAGAAATTCTTTAGATTCTATGGTATATTTGTAGAAACATTCCTCTATGTGTGTCACCGTGGGCAAGCAGTGAGCAGTTATAGTCGATACGTGAATAAATGACTACAAAAACTTTTTAATTAGAAAGCAAACTCGTTAATTAAAAATTAAAACTTTAGAGACGAATAATTACCTTTAAGTTTGGCATACGTTTGGCCAAGTTCAAAATAGCATAGGTGCCGTACACGTTTATTTTTGCAGCGACTTTTATGTCCTCATTGAAGCGTACAGTCGCCGCTAAGTGGAAAATTATCGATACCTGCAATGAGATAGAAATGGAATCAAAAATTACTATCAAACTCGCGTCAAACATATGCATGTAAGGTGTACTCAGATCAAAAATACATGCTATCGCTAAATATATAAGTAAGAGCTATATGAAGCTAAATCTAACACATATAAATTAATAAATAATTTTGTAGAATTGTTGCAAGTAAAAGTTACAAGAATATTTAAAAGAGAGAGAGAGAGAGAGAGAGAGAGAGAGAGAGAGAGAGAGAGAG